TTGCCTCCTGTTCCTTTGTTGCACTGTGGCTGTCCCAGAACTCTTTGGACTCTGCAATAACACCTCTGCTGTACTCACCTGGCCCAGCTCCCACTAAAGGAGGTGTATTCTGGGATGGAGGACAATATCCTCCAAGAGACAGCTATGGAACAGCCTCACTTCATTAATGGCAATGCCATAACATAACTGTGTTTATAATTTTGCAGAATGCAGCGAGACTACTCAGTAATATTTAATTTACCGCGCAACCATGCTGGTTTTTATGTGCTCTGCACAATTGTTTGGACTCATTGCAGAAGTTTGTTAGGGACAGTGCTGGAATTACAGCTTGTAGCAAACTGGAATTGTGGTCATCTGAGAGGAGCACGCCGCTGTCTCCTAGAACTGGGGCTCAGGAAGCAGGGTGAAATCTAGATGTACTGTGCACAGCCCTCTCCACCCACTCACAACCACAAAACTCTCTAATGAGCTGCTGGGAGCGTGGCCCCACCACCTGGCTGAGCTCAGCAGGGTCATTTTGCCAGTGGCAGTGACAGGAGATGGGGAAAAAACGCTGCCTTTATCTGTATTCTGCTCCCACAGCCGGGCAGGGTTTTATTAGACAAGAGCAGAGCACACCCCATCATCCTAATAGGTTATTAATGAGGAGAACCAACAGCCATCCGTGCAGCTGAAGAGAGGTTTTCGAGGGAAAACGCCTCTAAAATGAGCGTGCCAAGGAAGAGATGTTGGACGTGTCATATTTCAAACACAACAGGCTGTATGTTCATGTAAATGTTATGCAAATGAGACACAGCCCTCAGGCACCTGGTGAGGTTCCAGCAAGGCCCTGGAGGCTCCAAACTGTTGATTTAGCACACGAGCCTCAGCACTTGCACTAAAATGCATGTGCTAAAATCATATTTAAAGAATGCATGTGTCAGGGACTTTGAAATATATTAAATATTGATACAAGCTATGGGCTCTTCCCATGGACATTTTGATTTCCAGTCAGAAAATGTTGCCACGGAATGATGTTACCTCTTTTAATGTGGAATAAGTCTGTGTGATTAATGCAAAGCCTTCTTCAGCAGCAGCAGCCTCAATGCTACTCTTAAGGATACTTATGTCTTGGGTAGCAGGAAAAAATAGGACAAGAGAGAAGTAGGAGAAAAAAATTACAAGAAAGGACACAGAATTAATGTAGTCATTTGTTTAGGAGATGCATCGTGTGTGGATAAAAATTACCCCCTTTTTAGGATAAAATCTGCAATTTTTTTTCATAGAAATAGAGAAAAGAAGAGGTGTGAGAGTGATGCAGTCTAACCTGAAAAGGGACACTTATACCAATTTGGGGGAAAAAAGAAGGAAAACATATTGGCTTTCTTTGTGGGGGGTAGTGTGGTTTTGGACAAAAGTGCATTTGTAATCTCTCTTCTCAATTATTATTTTAGAGGTGTCCCAGCCATCAAGATAGCTGTCTCTGAGCACTGCAATGGGAAAAAAATGTTGGTGTGCAAGCAGTTGTGCTATTTTTTCCTAACTCCTGATGCAGTTCCAGATTGCCCATAGTCACAGGAAATGTGACAAACAATAAGCCAAATAGCAAAGCAAATTATTCCTGCTCATTTCAAAGCCTAAACTCCAGGAACCTGAGTGGCAGATTTCATTTGTGCACCAGGGTGCTCTGATTTAACTGCAAATGTCAGGGATTTTGATTTGTGTTTTAAGTCTTTTCTGTTCCATATCATACTTTTGTTTGGTTGGTTTATTCAGATATGCATTCCCAACAGGGTAGTTATGTTCTTCCTAGTAAGAGCATGAGTTATATGAAACATTTTTGATACTCTCAGCTCTCCCTAAAATATAAACAGCTCTTGTTAGTATGGTAGAGTTTAGAATACTGCGAATGAAAAAGCCATCCAAAATTAATAAAAAATGACAGTATCAAACACTAACTAGGTCCTGAACATTATTTTTTGTTGTTGTTGTTGCTAACTAGTCAGTAATCAGTCGGCAATCATGCTGGGAAAACTTCTAATATTACTTTAGAATTTTAGGGATTTCTCAACCTCTTGCAATACCTTTTTGTTGGATTTCTTTGATGCTGGTCAAAAGGGAATTAATTATGCCAAGCTGCGAGACCTTTTCTTGGGCTCTTTTGGCAAATCCCCTGTGCAGAGGAAGGCTTTGAGCAAGAGCTGTGGTGAGCACACCAGACATGGGAGGTGCTGGTGTTGGAATTGATGCAACTTTTAAAATTTTTACCCAACTTTGGTCCAGGGGTTTGTTTGTCTCTGCCCAGGGGAAAGGAATTAAAGTTTCTTTTCAAAAGACTGTTCTCTGGGCAATGCCTAATGAAGTTAGCATCTACAGCCTGTAAGTAGCACATGAGGATCTAATTAGCATCGAAGGCAAAGGGATCAATACCCATAGGAAACCAAATCTTGCAAATTGTGTAATTTGGGACTAATGAACATTGAGCCAATGAATTTCTCTGGGTTTTGTCTGTATAAGTATGTGAAAAGTCTAGAACCAGGTGTGATGGAATGATTTACTCTGCACAACCCAAGCAACGTGTGCATGAAATTATTTCTGTTGCACATCCTGGCCAGAACAACACCCTGGCCAGAATAAAGTAATGTCTTAATTCTCCAACACTAAAAATTATGTTGGAGAGGTTTAGGTTTTTTCCCCGCAGTTTTGGTGACACTGGGACTTAAATAACTGCTCAGGACTCTACAGTGTAACAAGCACTGGGGTAATCCTCCCTGCAGCAGCACAGGAGGAAGCTCTGATGGTCACCCTGGTCCCCAGGTCCTTTAGGGTGTCACTTCTCCCAGGCCAACCCTCAAGCTGGGACACAGATCTGGTTCAGCAGCTGTATGAAAAGTACTCTAACTAATATGTCACTATATATGTTTTAATGAATAGTCTTCAAATGTGCCACTTACACCCTGGATCTAAAACTTTACTTGATGATTTTCCAATTTAGAATAGCAGTCTTTCAGAAACCTGTGCATATAGAACAAAAAAAAAAAAAAAGCCTTCCTTGGCTATTTCTGTGCTCTTGTGTTTTAACAGAAACAGTTTTTTTTTGTTCAATTAATGTTCTGACAGTAGAAATTTGTCATGCAAATGTTCCCAGCCTCTCAATGAAAGTGGTGAAAGAAGCCAGGGTTTCATTTATCAGCGCTGGTGCATCTGATGTGAGAACCATTTCCTGGAGGCTCCTGCCGTCAATTTACCAAAGCAGATTTGCTGGTGGACTAACACTTGGTTACATCTCAGCAGGAGGTTGGAGAGAAATCTTTCATTTGTAGTGCTTGCAGAAATCTTTGGACATGCAGAAGGTTCACCCTGTAAACTGTAGGTGGGCAGGGTTGAATTTTGCATTGTAACACAAATTTTCTTAAAAATATTTTGGTGGCTAGAAAGGGCAGATTTAGTTCAGGCAGAGTTTTGTCTCTACAGTTCTATGTTCTATCACTTGAGTTACCACTGATTGCAGCCACCCATTATCTTCACATAAAAGGAATTTCTGCATGTGGTGAGAGCCTGGTTTTAAAGGTTGCTGTACATCTACATAATAAAGAGTCAGGTGATGAAGGCAAGTCACATCTGAGGGATGAGTGATACCATGGTCTGCAGCAAGAATCATAGAATTCAGTCATTAAGGTTGAAAACACCTCCAAGAGCATCAACCTTCAAACCACTCTGTCAAATAACCCACATCTCATCCACTCACTTCTTGAACACCTCCGAGGATGGGGACTCCACCACTGCCCTGGACAGCCCCTTCCAATGCCTCACCACTCTTTAAGGAAGGAAGTGTTCCTAAAATCCATCCTGAACCTACCCTGGAGCAACCTGAGGCCATTTCTTCTTGTCTATCACTAGCTGCCTGGGAGAAACTCCAATCCCAGCTCACCACAACCTCCCAATCCAGTCCTTCCTCCAAGACCAGGTGATGAGATGGGCAGCCTTAACCAAACCCTGGGTTTGTTCTGCTGCACTCTCAGCTCAACTCTGGCACCAGCAGATGACCAGAGCTGAGCTGGGCTGAGCTGCCATGGCACCATTCTGAGATGGATGGGACTTTGGGAATGTCCTTCACAGACCAGCAGACAAACTCAACATGTGCTGTGGAGCCACAACTTCTGGTTGTATCCTTCCCCCAGTAATGGCACTTCCAAGGAAGTAAATTTGTATTTACTTGAGTTAGGAATTGCATCTGGTTTCATGTGTCTTTAGTGAAGATCTTGGTTACCAGTAGAGAGATCCGATGAAAGGATCCTAAATCACATCTTACATCAAGAGCTTCATAATTACTGCACATTCAACTGCAAGTTACAATTGTGTTTGCCCTTCAAAGCTGGAAATGAACTGGGAGAGGATTTTTCAAATGGGTAACATAAGTCTAGAGGTCTCTTCAGGAGGACAGCTGTTGCTTTCTGTCCTACCTGGGGCACTGATCTTGGTCAAACATCCTCTGGTGCAAGGAGTGACCTGCAGCAGTCAGCACAGAGGGTGCTTTGACTGACAAACTGTGCTAAAACTAGTTCCTATCAGAAAATAATACATCTCGATGAAACATGTCGAGCCAAGAGCTCCAAATTGTTCCAAAGGTCTTTTAAAAAATATAAAATTCAGTCACAGGAGTACAATAACTATATTTTTAAAAAAATTAAAAAAAAATAAGAAAAGGCATGAGAAATATAAATCTGTCTGTAAATGGAGTTACTGATCACACATGTTCATAAGGTTCTCCCAATGACCAAACACTTCTATAAGCACTTCTGTATCAATAAAATTATGTATCATTCATCACCAATATCTCTAGTACATCGTTAGACCTTCTTCCATGCCAGCATCTTCCTTACAAATTTAATGCTTTGATTTGGGTAAGAGAGATAATAAAACTGATTGTTTTGCTAATGCTTACGAATCAAACCACACTTCCCCTGAGGAGCAGTGCAGCTGGGAGCTGCCCTGGAGGTGTGTCCTGGAGCTGTCCCTACCTTGATGGCGGTGGAGGCGATCTGGATGTGGTGCAGCCGGCGCAGGGTGCTCTCCCGGTCGATGAAGTAGGAGGCTGCCAGCTGGTGCAGGGTCTCCAGTGTCACCACAGAGCTGTTGGCGCTGGGGTCGCTCCCGTCCGACCTCTTGCTCAGCTTCCGTTTGTCCACAAAAATTGTGAGTGACTCCTCTCCTGGGCAGGGAAACAGAAGCCCCAGCAAGCATCAGCAATGTGCAGCAACACAGAGAGATTTTGTAGACATGCAACTTTAAGCGCATACAAAATGTGTTTATTTCCAAGGTCACTTAATACATTCATTCTGTAGTGTTCTATGTTAGCATAAAAGAAAATGAAACCAGTGTAATACTTGAGATGTTCGCTTGTTTCCTTCTCTCATAAAGCCTATCATAGCTGACTTTACAAGAAAGGCACCTTGTTGCACCTTGTTATGAGTAACTATGTGCTTTCTAATCAATTCAGCAGTGCCTGAAATCTGAAAGAACATTTGCCTTGAACCAAATTTCTGCAACAGAAAAATGTAGGGTTTTCAGAAAGTTGGTGGTTTTCCACCAAGCTCTGGCAACTTGTGTTGTGGATTTCTCACTTCCTGTCTCTTTATAAAGATGTGGATAAATACTGTTGAATTCAGAAATTTTAATTTCTGTAGGATTATTGAAAACCAAAAATCTGACTTGCTTAACTGCATGGGTTCTTAGGAACATTTCCAGAACAGACCTACTGGCACTGTCAAATTTTCCATGTTTATTGTCTACTTCATGGATATATTTTCCTGTGTTTCAGGCTAAGCAAGAATTCATTCATTTATTAAAGTGTTTAGGCAAACCCCTTTACATGACAAAACAAATTGGAAAATCAATTTCTGGACCCATTATTTTCTTCTGTGTAATTTATGTCCAAAATAAATTGGACAGAAGAAAATTTCCTCACCCTCTGAGCATGTGTTTTGTAACATGCATTCTTCAGCATTTAGCTCAACAATTGATTAATAATGTCATTATACCTGGATTTTAGGTGCTGAACAACTCCACTGAGTGCCTTTCTTTTCCTAGTTCCTGGAAGGGAAGTTACCCTGCTAAGGTCTGACTTGCCACTTGTGCTACTTTCACTGCTCACCCATCTGCTGCAGTGGCACTTTGCCCGTGCAGAGCATGGGATGCCAACTTCAGATGGGTTTATGTGCCAAAAAATAATAGCTGTAGGATAAAAATCTAGGATGAAAACATGACATCATCTTTAGAAGGAGCTAATCTTGGTAGTGAGCAATGCTAAGTGAGGAACGTGTGCCTCTGTGCAGGAGATCACATTTGCTGGCAAATTTTGACTCACAAAAATTGTCTTTGGTTAACATGAGCACACTCCTTGTTCCCCAATGTACATTATGTGTTTCCCAATCTCTCAGAAATTCAGAGGACAGTCAAGCCCTTCAGATCTTACACAGGCAAAACTGGCATTATACAGGAGCTTTTTATCTAAATAGACCTGCAGGGTTTGTCCAGAATATTTCTTTTTCCCTGGAAGGGACAGGTGGCTGTTCCAGCTGCAGCTTACCTCAGTTTCCACCACTGCATTTATGCTTCTCCTCCTACAGTTTCCTAATGGGTCATTATTTCTGTGCATGAAGTTGTCAATGCAGGGATTAATTGCCCGAAGCTCCAAAGAACTAGGAATTAAAACAGCCTCCTTAAGTACCAGGATTTCCCCACCCAATTATTTAATCTTTCTGCTGTAATATGTGGATGAAGGTTCACAACTGCCGTAAGGAGGGAGCTGGGAAAGCACAGCAAACTCTAACAGCCTGTCCCCTGAGAGAAATCTGCCATCAGAACCTGCTCCAGGTTCCAGCTTTGCTGGCATTCAACTATGCCCATGCAATAAAACCTGACTTGCCACAACCTGCCATGGGACTCCAGCCAGGATAAAAGACATTTCTGGGATGAAAAGCAATGGAGTGGGCTCCAAATTTGAGCCAGATTTGAGATTTGAGCCAGGGGCCGTGGGTTTTGTGCAGCGGTCTTTGGAGCTACAAAGACATGGTTTAGAACAGATATTAGGAAGAAATTCTTCCCTGTGAGGGTGGGCAGGCCCTGGCACAGGGTGCCCAGAGAAGCTGTGCCTGCCCCTGGAAGTGTCCAAGGCCAGGTGGGAGAGAGCTTGGAGCAACCCAGTCCAAGGATGTCCTCCAGCCCAGACTGTTCCATGGTTCTGTGGTATCAGAGAAGACAACATCCGAACTCAGAGGGTGAATATTGTGTCAGCAACGAGCTCAGGCTGCACAGATTAGGTGCAAAATTTTACTAGGAGCTTACTCTCCGTGTTTTCACCTTTTCTAGAGTCTGAGCTAGTTTATTTAGATTGAAGTGGCTTTTGCAAGGTCAACCACCTTTCCACTGAAAAGATAATGAATTGTAAGGGCAAAGAAAACAAGGACTTAAAGCTGCAGAAAATCTCTGGAAAAGATTACAAAAACTTTTTTTTTTTTTTTTTTTTTTTGGAGGTTCTTTGTGTTTCATTACCACAGAATCATAGATTTATAGACTGGTTTGGGTAGGAAGGGACTTTTAAAGATCATCCAGTTCTATCCATGCCATGGGCAGGGACAACTCCCACTCTCCCGGGTTGCTCCAAGCCCCATCCAGCCTGGCCTTGGACACTTCCAGGGATCCAGGGGCAGCCACAGCTTCTCTGGGCACCCTGTGCCAGGGCCTCCCCACCCTCACAGGGAGCTGAGGGTGATGTTGTGATATTCCTAACATCTAATCCATGTTTCCTCTCCTTTAATTCAAAACCCTTCTCCCTTATCCTATCACTATCTGCCCATGTAAAAAGTCATTCTTTTTCTTTTTTATAAGCCCTTTAAAGTCCTGGATTGCCACAATAAGGTCCCCCTGGAGCTTTCTCTTTTCCAGGCTGAAGAATCCCAGCTCTCCCAGCCTCTCTCTGAGAAAACCTTCTCCAGGCCACAGAGCACCCACCACACCTTGTTCTCATGTAAACACTTTTGACTGATCTGTATTAGTCATTAGCAGAGATGGTGGGGTTCCTTATACTTCAACAGAATTCTGCTAAGTTTTAGTATTAAAACAGAGTTTGTTGAGTTTTTTCACATAAAAAAAAAAATCTCAGGCATTTTCCCATTCCCTGCTCTCCAGGAGAAGACAGCAGAACTGCAATAAAACCTCCCATTTCAAAAACAAACAAACAAACCTTGAAAAAGGACAGGGTGGTGTGTTGTGATGTTTTACTTTGATTAGAACATCTCAGGAAAAGATCATTTGGACCACATCAGAGTTTTCACATTGTCCTGTTTGTCTTGTCCTCCTTGACCCTACACTTTCCATGGTAGGTGTGGATCCCCTGGCACCCCCAGCCCTGTCCCCACCCCCTAGCAGATATGTTTGGGTTCTCATTCTTTGTAACCAGACTGAAATAACTTAGAATATTTACATGGCACCTCACACAAGGAGTCCTGGCTTATCTCTGGCACTCCCAGGCACTGTGCTACCAGCAGGTGCCATCAGGGGCAGCTCAAACTTGCTGCACAAAAGACTTCTCACAGAGTTTTTCATCCGTCAGAGATGATGGATCCCTTGCTAGAAAAAGTGAATTCCCCCATACATCGGAGCTTAGGCACCCCTGTCCCTGCAGAACTGTGAAAGGGCTCCCTTCAGCACCCAGAACTCCAGGGTTTGGGAAATAACACTGCCAACTCTGGTTTGGAGGAGACAATTTGAGTTTTAAGTTCATTTGGAGAAAATTAAACCCATGCCAAAAGAGACTCTTTTGTAACATTGAAAACATGGATGAATCTTGTTTTTCACTGTTAACTGTGACCTGTCTGCCACCATAAAACAGGCTAAGAAGATACCCAAGCATCAGGTAAAAACAAGTGTGATTTAGAAAACTGGTCAAGGTTAAAAATTTTAAGAACTGAAAAGGAGCAGTGACAGTGAACACTTATAACACATGATTATTCAGCATCAAATCCTCCCAGCTGTGCTTTTTACAAGCTCTGAAAGCAGCATTTGCTCTCCTTCCCAAAATTCAAGAGACAGTAAAATTCACTTTCTCAGGTTTAAAGGAAGTAGTAGCATGGAAATACTTAGTTATGCTTACAAAACAATGCTACATAGCCCAGTGGGTGGTTCACGAAGCTCTCAGTCACCACAGGGATGTTTTATTGCCATGTGGGGCTGTCACTGACAGAGAGTCATTGCAGGGGCAGGGGACTGATGTTCATGCTCTTCACTGACCTTACCACAGTGTCCACTACTGTCCCCACCAGCCCTAGAGCATACAAGCTTTAATAACTTCAATTTTTAATTCTTGCTGGGTTTATAAGAACATATTGCCCATGATATATGTTTATAAATTCAACTAGCTCCCAACACAGTTAAAAAAAATAAATAAATTAAATATGTGTATAGAAATTCACTCAGATATACAACACATCTGTGGCCATTTAGATGTATGACTCCTAAGTAACAGTTGGTAAGTGGCATTCAGAAACTAGAAATTAATTTTGTGCTCATCTTAAGAACATAATCAGGAGTTATTTGAATTAAAAATGCAAATCTCCATCAACATGGCGGAATTGGAATATTGCTGTAACAATTGCAGCTAAATATAACCATCTATAGAAGGAGTAAATATATTTTGTTATACATACCAATGAATATTCATATGATTTAAATACGTAGTGCTATCTTGTGCCTCAGTTGTTGAGAGATTGTTTGCCTGTACTACCCACATCTTTGGAATAATAAAGGAATTATAGGCCTTGATGTTTCATATTTTCATCTGTAGACTGGGAAGTGGTAGGAAAAGGCAGTGATCCAAGCAGTTCCCATCACTTTGTGTCAGAGAGGAAACAGGAATAAAAGAACACTCCAAGGTAGCTATAGCTGAGCATAACCCACAGATGCCTACTTGAACCTCTCTCTTCATACACATAAAAGTCTCTTACACAGGACTAAAGGTCTTTGGCCTAGGAACTCCTCAAAGGTTTCTGATTAAATAAAATACCTCAGCTACTACCTAAATAACTACACCTAAATAAATACACCAGCTACTACCAGCTAGTGGAAAATCTATTCCTGTCTGGATCACCAAAGGTACCATTAGGGTTTTATCAGGTCATTTTCCCAAAGTTAAGCAGATGCTGGTAGAAATGCACAGGCTGAAAAACGATATAAATTAATGTCAGGCCAGATGTGGTACCATTTCCATGGTCCAAGTGAATAACAGTGCACGTTAATTCTATACAGACCATCTGTTTAAGGATTTAAATTTTTTTCTTCATTAAGTAGACGGAAGTGGAAAGAAAGTTAATGTACTTTGTGCTTTTCCCCCTCCCCTTAGCTTCCATAATCCTTGATGCTGTGAAATTTACATATCTGAACGGGGGCTGTGACTGGTGCTTGCAAGTCTGATGCAAAATTTTCAAGTTCCTTTCTCACATCAGTCATTTGAGTCTGTCTTCTCCTTCTCTTATTTGCCAATAGTTTGTATCTTACTTTGAGGGAGTGTTGTGGAAAGCAAAGGTTGTATCAGCAGTTAGTGTAAGTGCTAATAAATCCTTCAGAATTCATTGAGATTCACTGTTTTACACCACCCGACAATTTTCCCCATCTTTGCAGGCAGAATAAATACGCAGCTCCAGGGAAATACTAATGAGGAGCAGAAAAGCTGGCACTTGGGGAAAAGTAAAGGTGTAACATCACACTTGCAGGGCTGTAATCAGAGGGGTTGGGGTCGAGCTGATCTGCCCACACCTGTTAAGACTGCCTGTTTTAAAGACAAAACTACCTTCCGACTCACAAAGCCTTCAACAACATCAAGGGCTATTTCTTGACCCAGACAGCTGAATGGATTGATGGTCTGGTAATGAACACCTTGAGCAGAGATGACTGACAATAGCAGTAAAAATAAATCTACCTGGGACATTTCAGATGACCACTTAGACAGTTTCTTAACGAGGTTCTCCTTTCATAGGAACCTTCGGCATTGTCCTGCAAATTGGTTTATTCAGAGCAGTTGACTTGTTTCCAGGTGCAAGGAGGACTTCCTTGCAAAGCTGTCTTCCCAAATCAGTCTCACTTCACCCAAATGCCTGGAACAAGAGCCTATCATCTCATTGTGGTGTTCTAATTATCCTCATCACCAACTCTACTGCTTTGCTGAATGGCCTTTTCTGTAGGAACAGCATTAAAGGGAACGTCTTTAACTCCAGGGGGATTTGGTTTTGTCCCCTCACACTCATCCCACAGTGGTAGCCCAGGCTTCCCTACAGCCTCCAGCTCCAAAGCTCACACCTGTTTTTTGCAAGCCATTAAGGTGTAGTTCCAGCAAACTGGACTACCATTGCATGGCATTGTGAGCAGGCAAAAAAGAGAAAAGTATAAATGCAAAACAAAAGGAGGGGAAGTAATAATGAGTGCTCAGTCTGCTGGGTCACACAGGGTCCTTCAATCATGCAGCTTGGAGCTGCTCATTACGGACTTTGGGCTTGTGTCACAAGGAGATAAAATTTCCATAAGAAATAAAAGCAGTGAGAAATGTCACTTTCCACATTATCTTGTGGCAGCAAGAAATATGGAACTTTTTTCCCTTAGTTGTCATTTCCTAATGCCCTTGAGGGGTGTATTTCTGTGTTTGTGAATAAAGACTAGGGAATGTTTCACAAACAACCATGTGCAAGAGTTCCCTTTATGCTCAAAAAGGGATCTTTATGGAAACCAAATGGTCACAGAGGCACACAAATCTTACCACAGCATCATTCATTTGCCAAGTTTTCCTTTCTGTCCCTGAATACAGATGATTGGGGATTCATTATATAAAAGCACTGTGCACACTCCGTTTGGTCTTCTGCTTTTAACAAGCTGCATAAGTGACAAGCTTTCACAATAAAACAACTTGTAATTAAAGGGAAAGTACTAATACATTATTAAAATAATAAAAAAATCTAATTACATGTTAATCAGATGTGGACAAGCATCTGTGGGAATCCCCATTCAATCCAGCCCAAAAATGAGAACTAACACATCCAGGAAAGTATGGGTTTATTAGCTACCTCATGAAAGCTTTCCGAGAAATTACTAATTCCCTGTAATTATTGTAATTGAACCAATTTTTCAAAGTATTCAGCACCCATCCAATGATAATGTAAGGCAGCAGGTGTGCCTCAAATCATACCTAGAAGTTGAGACTAGGGACCTAAGTCAAATCCCAAGTTAATATGAAAACTCCCTTGGAGTTCATTAAGCGGTGACAGAGCCCAGAAGTCAACACTGTCTTCTTCTGAGTGAAAATTTGGGCAAAGCTGTGGCAGCTACTGCATTTTAGAGCCTTTCTGAGGTGAGAAAATGGTACTTTGCCTCAGCTTCCCTGCAGCAAATCCTGAGGCTTTGGGGAGAATATTGAATGGCTCAGCTAGAATTTTCAAATGTCTTCAAAGGAAATAACATTAAGTTTTAGTTTTACTTAGGTCCAGACCTCCTGAAAGTTGTCAGCTCCGTGGCTCTTTGGTGATCAGTGTGACACTGCTGCTTTGAATGTAAAGATCAGCTGTGGTCATGTTAGGCTGTTTTCCTAGAGCTCTCAGATCCAATTTCACCCTGACAATGAATTTCATCACATGGCTTCAGAGCTACTGCTATTTACATTAGTTAAGAATTAGCAGATAGGTAGCCATACTGAAAAGTAATTTTTACCACTGGATAATCCCTGAAGTAGGATACATGCTGCAGCCAAAGCTTTAATTCTTATGCTTTCTATTTTAAGAAACATTTTCTTTGTTCTTCACCATTTAGTCTTCTTATTCAAATGTGCCATGTGTTCTATACTCAAGAAATAAGTCATTTATAAAACATGTATATTTGCATGCAAAAATATTCAAAGTAATTAAAAGAAATTCAGGGATTTTTGTTACAAATTTCAGGTCAGCACACTTCAATTGTTCTTCAAATTCTAATGGTAATGCTGCAGAGGTACTAGTTCCCAAAATAATGATAGAAATTAGCTCTTTATTTTTTGAAATAACTACAGCAAGACAGAAATCACTCTTGTTTCTAGGATGGTCTCCTTCAAAAGGAGAAGCCTCTGTGAGCCATTTGGGCTCTTACAGATCCCAGCTATCAGCCAAGAGAGACTGGGAGGGCACTCAATTCCTTTACAAATGGCTAGGATTCAGCTATGGAATGTATTAAAGAGAACCATTCCTCAGGTGAATAAAGGATTTCGACAAGCCTGTCCTGCAGGAAGGACACTCAATAACCAGAATTATCTTTAATATTATCACCCACGATGGGATAGAGCTGCATTTCTAAAATGTCAGTTCATTGTGTAATGCCTAGATGGGCAATCACAGGTACTAATTATCTTTCATTCGGAACAATTTATGCTCTCCTTCGAACATTAGGCCTTTTCACCGGATTTCTTCAATCCATCTGGTGACTGGATCCCAATTATGCATGGGGCTACCCTTTCCAGATTAGTCTGTGGGGACTGCAAGATGCGGATTCCATTAAGTTAATGGGAATGACATGGCAAAGCCTCATCATCCCATTTTGAAAATGCAGTCCCACTGGTTAAGTGAAGAATAATTCTAAAAAGGGCAGAGTGACAATATAGGGATTTTCCAACGGACAAAGTAGTTTAAAAGTCTCATAAATTAAAAGATTTGTTGGAAATACTTGTTACTTGGTTTTGGCTCCTTTTCTGCAGGACTGCAAAGGACCCAGATACTTCTGTAAGCTGTTATTATGTAAATTGCTACAAGGACCACTTACAGAACAAAATGTCACTCTCCTTAAGACCTCAGTGCATAGAAAGACCCCCAAAAAGGCTAAGGGCAGCACAGCAGGAGCTCAGGTAAAGCACTTCAACCTTAGCAACCAGATCTCTTCTCTTTTTTGCACAAAATTCTATACACAGCAGGACAAAGGAGAAGAAGGAGTCACAAGACCTGTAGTCAAAACCTCCTCCCACAGAGAGTGCTGCCCATCCTAGCAGCTTGGAGGAGGAGGAGTTGTGACCAGTGCATTTAGTCTACTCACACCAAGCTCATCCACAACATTCCCAAGAATTAGCCCTACCTCCCAGGGTAGCTGAGAGCAGGAAATGTGTCCCATATTTCTTGATCAGGTTTTCTGTGATCTGTTGAAGGGTCGGGCGCCGTCCCAGCAGCCTTATGTTTCGGAAGAACTCAGGGGCGAGTGGCAGTGGGGAGCCAAGGAAATTTCTTCTTTCCACAGCAAGATTGTTTACTTTCCAGCGGCCAAACTCTCTGCAAAACAAAGCAGTTCTCATTCAGAAATGTGTCATTCAGACAAATGTCCTTCATTTGCAAGTGACTCTGCTCTGCTGAGTAGCTGGGGGCGACTCGCTGGGAATTACAACGGGCCTTGACAGTGATACTCTGTCATGTGTTATAGACAGGACAAGCAACGAGGGTTATTTATTAGAAGTGGAGACAGTACTCCATAATAAAATAATTGTTGGGAAAGAAAGAAATAACAACTAAGCCTCTTAGGCTGCTGCTGCTCCTGTTGGTTTTGTGTGGCCTCTGATGTGAATATTGCTCTGAAATGACCCGATTTGGCAGAAACTGAAATGAAAGCAATGATTTCCCCAAATGTGGACCAGATGCAACAAATATTTTTGTTAGAACAAGGTAAATTTTAAAATCTTAACAGGATAGAGTCCATGTTCTTTTGATGTTAAGTCACTTGGCTATTGAGCTGGATAAATTGGATAACTTGAACAAGCACTGTCACACCACATTTGACCTTACTGTGATAACTCCAATTTTCTATAGTTTTGGCTTCCATTTTGGAAAAATACACAGACAGAAAGACGGATTCCTAAAAAGTGATGATGTTTCAATTGTAAGAGAGAAAAAAGTGAATTCAAAGACTAGCCCCTTCCCTTCTCCAAAATAAATCAATGACAGCAGGGAAAACAAACAATATTTTATTAATTTACTTGCCAATTAAGATACCAGATAGAGCTATTAGTGAGAAGGACTCATTGTCCTCAAATCTAGACAAGACAGGCAGCCTTGGCATTAACTTGGCTTTTCCCAGATACAGCAATAGCTGTTTTGGTTACAGACTCTGGCAATGAAGTGCAAGGACCTGAGCACTCTGCTTTAGCCACCACTTTGTTGAGTCTTTTTTACAGCCACATCAATTAGGATTCCTCTTAACCAAGGCTGTAGAAAAGCAAAGAGCTCAGCGAGCTTGCAAGACCCTACTGAAGTTCCTGGGTAAATAGAGAGAAACACTCACGTACAAAATTAACACAAAAGCAGAAATCAAAGATGCAGCAAAAAAATAATATTTGAGGGATGCCAGAAAGAAAGGGTTGCCAGCAGCTGGATGAGCAGGGATGTGTAACACATACTCAACACTAGGATTTGTTGATGCTTTTAAGTCCACAGTTGGTAGTAGAACCCAGATGAATACATTTTCGTGTAGCCCTTCTGCTTCCCAGCCTCCTCCTCTTGCTCTCCTGGATCCTGCCTTTCCTCTCAGACACATTCTGGTAGATGCCATTTTGTAATCAAAAACAAATGTGAAGAATGATGGCAGGGAATGATTTCTCTAAATTAACTGAAATTTAATGTGATTTACCAGTCAGGGGCATGAGGTAAAACAGATCCCCATAGTTTTTCAAGACTCTACACATCACCACTGAAATTCCCAAATTAGTATTTGGGAATTGCTTTCTGATAGGGGATTTTCCAACTTCGTTTTCAGGTTTTGAAGTTTTCTCTCATAACTTTCCTTTCCTTTTAGGAAACTATAAAACCTATAACTTCTATTTGCAGCTTTTATGGAACTACTGTACATGAGTAGAGAGAAATGACAAAAATTACACACAAATATTTTTTGCCTATAAAGTGAAAAAATCCTCATTGTGTATATTGTTCACATTAATGCAGACACTAAAAATAGTGAATTACCCTGCACGGCAAATTTTTAATTTTCAACTGAAATTTTCAACTGCAATTTTCAACTGAAAAACAAACGACTAAAAAAATAAAATTGCAAAAAAAACTTTTTTGTTGTTGTTGTTGTATAAATTCTTTGTATTCTGGTCAATTTTTTCATTTGAATACATCAGAAAAGACTGGTTAACTGTTGTTCCTAAACAGACCAGCAAGACCTACTTTGACAGTAAGAAAATATTACAAGTTTTATCTTGTAAAATATTTATTTTATGCCTTGAGGAAACCTTTTGTTCTAAGCTCACTATCTGAGCTGAGATTCAAACACAATATTAACAGAAAATATACAATTCTTATAAAAGACAGTTTTTGCCACCCTTGATCTGATTTTCATTGTCAGCATTTAAGGACAGAGAAGACCACCCTAATCCCCTCATCCTGCCTCCTTTTTAGTGCAGTCAGAGGAATCTCACCAAATGCCTCTTGCTGTCACACCCTTGGGACTGAGAAGAAACTGTCCCCCAGAAAAACATTTCATCTTGACTTAAACTGCAGGGATTTCTCAGAAATCCTCAGCAATCTGTTGTGGTGTTTGACTACAGAGAGTGCACTCCATTTTCAGCTTGAGCACTGCCAGTTCCAGTTTCCAATTTTTAGAGCCCTTAATGCATGCTGGGCAACTGAAAAATTTTCTAAATATTAGATACATTCTGTGCAAGTAATTAGAGCTCTTGTTTGAATCCCCTCTTAACCTTGGGCTGAGCCCATTGCCTTCCTTGGTGTCTGTCAACAGTGGGCTCAGACATGAAGTCTTACAGCCCTTCTCCACAGGCAGCAAATCCTTTCTTGGAAGAGTTAAACTGGAGACAAAGGCCACATCCATAACAAATTCAGAAGAATTTCCAAGTTGAGGTTGCCCTGACCTCCTCCAAATCTTTTATTTGCTGAATCCAGGGACTGGGTTATTCTGGCACTAGAGAAACTTGCTTGGCTTAAACAAATTTGAGTTCCTTCAACAGTTTTTGCTTCAGAAGGATATTTTTATTTTTCCCTGTATGTTTACAGAGGAAGTAGGCAAATACTTTTGTAAAAGTTTTGTCATTCTTTTTTGGTTCAGAACATATCAATGGAAACATTTATTAGTGTAGCAAGTAATCATCCTCTGAAATTCACTGCTGAGGAATCTGGGGGATTAGAATATGGAAGATGGAACCCTTCTAAAAAGATGACAGTTTTATAATTGTGCCACAGACAGAGCTGAAGCTTCCAGAGATTTTAGAAAACAGGTTTTCTATTTTGGTGAGGTCTTTCTTAAATGAAGTATTTTGGAATTTGGAGAGATGAAGACCTAAACTCTCTGGGAGAGATAAGCAGAAGGTTCATCTCTGAGGATAAAATAGGGATGCAGGACACTAGAAGAGTCTGCCTGGCTCCAGGAGAAGGGATACCTGGATTTGGACAAGCGAGAAATGAAGAGCAGATCTGACAAAATATTTCAGACTTCAGAAGGAACTGGGTTTATGAGAGTAAAGTGGAGGAGCAGGGAAAAAGCTGGGATGAAGTTCAGGGTGAGGGGTTATGGTGCATTATTTCTAGCATGTTGAGTGAAGAGGTTTTCACAAATGCTTTCTGGGTCACTAGTAGCTCCTAAAATTAGAGCTGATTTCCCTTTTTAGCAACATCACTCCATTTAAAATCATATCCTTATCTTCCTTTTAAATGACACATAAATATGTTTGTCTATATACCCATCCATATAATTTCTCTTTTTTAATCTTAATTTCACTTTGCAAGCAGTGCTTTTCCCCTCTCTTGTCACCCCTTTCTGTGTCTCAAACTCTCCAGACAAAACATTTTATTTTGTGCCCAATGTGCATTATTCCCCTTTGGAAATCAAGTTCCTGCCCATTGCCAAAGGCAGACCAGCAGGTCTGGTGGATTAATACCTGTACTCTGAGCAGAGAAAATGCTGCTTTCTAGAGTCACTGAGTTCCATTCATCAGGAGAACACCTCCCATAGAATAGCACGGCATCAATGCTGGCTGCTGCTCAATAAACCGATTTTCCACTGAGAACAAACACTGGAGCTATGAGAGAGGCTTGTTCTTTCCTACTCTTCATCCTCTTCTGCTCTGTAAGAGCCAAGACCAGCAGCTCCCATGGTGTTCTCAAGGAGAGAATGGCAGGTGGTACCCCCTGTGCTGCCCATCTATTTCCAGCCTGAACAATACGTGAGTCACTGCATGGAGCTCTTTAGGGCTCCAGGCAAAGCCTGCTGTGGAGAAGGATGATGGCTCAGAGTTCCCAGGCTTGCACAAGAGACAGGAAATCAGTCAGTCTGGCTCCTAGGATGAAGCCTATAATGGAATTGTTTTATTATCATAAGTAGTGCCTGAAGCCATGGGCAGCATTCTCTCCATCTTCCCAGATTTCAGAGCCATGGATTTGCATGTGCTGCCACAAATCTGGTCCCTGGCTGGTTGGCTGCCATGGCCACGGGAGCCCTGGAGCCCAGCAGTGCTGATTCAGGGTCAGGGTGGGCCAGAGCCTGTCTCCTGCCAGTAGTTCTGCTGGGGATGCTAGGATGAGGATTGACCAGCCAGAGTCAGTGCGGGATGAAAAGAAGCACAGTTTAAAATGCAGTTGTCATTTAAACACTATTTCTTTTGTTGATGACATTGAGAGAGATGTTTAATCTCAGGAAACCATTAGTGTTCTGACAGGAAAGACCTGATACTAAAGTATCATACAAGTTTTGGACAAATTTTTATCTTCAAAGAAGCTTAAATTGCAAGTGGATCTGAGGGGAATCCTAGGACAGAGGCCAACAAGGGCTGTCATTGTATTCTTTGAGTTTCAAGCCATAGCTTTTTTTTCCAATGTGTACATTAATTATACTCTTGCTTCTATCACTGTATTCATTTCAATACATTTTAAACCTTATGGCATGGGGAGCTATATGGAAAGCTCTCCATAAAAATCTAGATAAAGGAAATTTTAAAAATGCCATTGTACTCTAAAATGGTAGTGTGAGGAGATTTGAAATGGGAATATAATCTTTTTCCATTGCAGTGACTGAATCAGCTTATAAAGAGGTTTACTGCGAGTTTGATGGATCCTGCATAACTGCCTACGGTCAACCACACACAAAACAGAGCCCAGGCAAAATTAATAATGTTAGGCCTCATTTTAAGTATTTTTTTGTGCTTTTTAAATCAATATTATCACTGGTGAGCATAAATAATATTGAACAATATTGCGATATAATGTGGAGAACACTCTTAGAAAATGAGCTTCATATAATTTCTAATACAAAATGTGTTCCTTTTCCTTAAGGTCTTCTAAATGAGACATCTTC